AAAATCGTGATCAAACTACTTTCTAACTTTTATAAATATTTATTTTGTGTCTTATTCAGTCCATTAGTATGCATACAAGATTGTTAGAATATGGCGAAGATAGAACCAATGTCTATACTAAGATTATTTAATCATTAAATTAAAGCTTGAATCAAATAATACGAAATAATGATAATCTCGATTAACAGAAGAATAACACATTGCGAATAGCAACAGGAAGAGAAACGCATTAGAAAAAAAATATGTTTGAAATGTACGAATAGAAACTGCTAGAAATTAATCATTATGACCAATGTTTTTTTTTGAAGTTTAACATTCTGTGTCGTTTGTCTTAATATTATAAATATATTCAGGAAATCTGATAACTGGAATGAAGGAGAAATAGGAATTCGAAATGAAATAGTTTCGTCGGAATAATGTTTTACAGTGTATGCTTTAACTCAAACGATAGAATTGGTTATAATCTATTCATTTATTTGATATGTGTTGAAAATAAACTTTTTCACCCATTTTTGAGAATATAATATAGATTTGTAGCAGTCTGAGTCTACTGAGTACTACACTTTGACTCCACAGTGGCTACACTGATAAGTTTTTGTAATTAAAAAAGTCCTCAGAGAGAATCGAAGCGATTTTGAAAATTGGAGAAAAGATTTTCACGATTTTCAAAGCTGAAATATAGAGTTTAACTCATCAATTTGAAAATTTTCAGCTGAAAACCTCCAGAAATAGACACGTTTCGGGGTAAAACATTAATAAAAATCCTCAATTTAAAAAAAAATCTTAAATAAATAGGGGGGTCTTCTATTATGTGGGACACGTTTTTTTCCCAAAGGGGTCTTCTATTATGGGGGGGGGGGGGTCTTTTAATATGGGAGGGTCTTCAATTATGAGGGGGGGTTTACTTACAAATGTCAAAATTCACAGAATGTATTGTAAAAAATAGAAAAAAATGAATTGGTATTTTATTGTAAGTTCCATCCGTATAAACTATCGAAGAATTAAAATGATTAAATGTTGATTTAATAGGATTTTTTTCCTATACATAATATTCTTATTGATTGAATAGTTTTCTCGAAATATGATATCAAATTTAAAATATGAAAATAATCATGAAAGAAGATGAATATGCATATGTATTTCATCATTATAATTAAAACTTCTATCAATAATGAGTCTAACGTGGGAACACATTTGAGCTTTCCTTCTCGAGGACTTTGTGTTAAAACTTTGATATGGAATGAAAACAATGTGAGGAAATTAGATGAATTCTTTATATTTTAGTCAGACGAATAAATAATTTTGTTTTTCTGCAAGCCGTCAACGATCAGAATTTATAATCGCAGCAAATGATCATACTTCAAAACATGGATTTTTCATTTTTGTCTTATAAATATAAACTATAAATAATTCTTTATCAATGGTAAAAGAGTTAAGTGATTTAGTTGATCTATACTGGCAACATTCAAATTGTTTTCACCTTCAGTAAAGTAACTTCTGAATCATTTTGAGAGTTATAATAATTAAAAGAAATTTTAGAAACAATTACGCGCTTATCAATAAATCTGTATTTATTCGTTTTCATCTTTTCTCTCATACAGACAATGGTAAAATAAAGTTCCATTTTTTTTTTGACCTTCAAATAAATTCTATTTACACTATAGACCTATCAAACATTTCGTGAAGCTTTAAATAAATATGTATGTTATATGATTTTTTTTGTAAATTAATAGATAATTTTATATCAATGCTAGCTTAATGATCGAAAACCAGAAGAACTTAAAGAATGTTATCTATATGGACGAATACCACCTATTGAAAAATTAGATCAATCATTATCATCACTTATTAATTGCGAGTATGTTTAAATATAAAAACAAAAGAAATCAAATTTTCTTTAATTTCTATAAAATAATTAGACGATTAGCTTTATCATCAAATACAATCGATCGTATTGGTTATATGAATGGTCTTCGTAATTTAAAAATTCTTTCTCTTTCAAGAAATAATTTAAAAAATTTAAATGGTCTTGAAGTACTTGGTGATACACTTGAACAATTATGGATATCATATAATCATATAGAAAAATTTAAAGGAATAAATACATTAAAAAAATTACGTATATTTTATTTTGCTTATAATCAAATAAAAGATTGGATTGAAATAAATAAATTAAATGAATTAAATTTATTAGAAGAAATAACAGCATATGGAAATCCAATACATGAACGAATTGTTGGTGAAAATTTTTCACCTGAACCAAGTCAACCAATAACATCATTAGAAAAAGAATATTATCGTGAATTTAATATTCGTATACCACATTTAAAAAAATTAGATGGACGAGTTTTTCTTGATAAAGATGATGATGAAGATAATGATTAATGAAAATTGTAGAATAATTTTTATTTATGTAGAAAAGCAGAAAAAGAAAAGAAAAGAGAGAAAGAAAATGAACGAACAAATATTATTGCTAAAAGTATCGCTAAAGAACAAGAAATAAAAATCATTCAAAGAAAAAGAGATTGTAGAAATTTTGCTTTTTTCGTTTTATTTTTTTCTTTCAAACTTCCTCTCTCCATTGTTTTTGTGCTTGACGATAAGCATTTTGTTCATGTAAAAATCGTTCTAATTCTTCTTGTCGTTCGAAAATATGTGTATGAAATGGTGAACCATAAACATGTTCATCACTCCATTTAACGGATATAAGATAATCGCCGGGTTCTGTTGGATTATATCGACATATTATTGTACGATCTTGTAAATGTTCACGTTGCATTTCAACACGAAAAGCACCTTTTGGACCACGAATTTTCACTGTTAATTGTCCAGCACCTAGAAATTGAATTTAAAAAAGAAATAGGTTTTAACAAAATATCTAAAATTAACTGTAAACAACTTCATCACAAATCGTGATACTATTAATTTGTTTTCATGAATCTTAAATTTAATTGTTTTCTGTTTGTATTAGTTCTATGGTTAAAACGAAATATCACGATCTGTTTCTAGCAAAGATAGTTCTTCGAATTGAATCAGCTAAGAATGTAACTGTCAATTGAGAATTCCGCTTGTATATAGAAAAAACCTAATATCACTATTTGATTTGATTGAGTTCGATTACTAATATAGGTAGTTCCACTTTCGTGTTGCATTCTTAGGAACGTGTAACAGTCTTGCATAAGAAAAACATAGACAATAACGTATAAACACCTCGATATATGTAAAAAAAAAATGCTAGAAAATACAGTTTGGAATGTTCAGAAATGAGAAGAGGGAAGTCTTCCAACTGATAAATCGGCTTTGAGTCGAGACTATATGCATTATGTAGACCTAATTGAGCTATGAATATCTGAAAAAGAGTTTGTGTCGCTAGCTTATTCCTACGGAGATATTACACTTTTACGATATTTGAGAAATGAATACTATGATCTAGAAAAATTGATTTTCGAATTTCGACATGAAAATTTGCACAGAGACAAATCTTAACGAGAATAGATTTTTTTTTGTGAATGTTGTAGATCTTGTCGCTGTTTCAATCCTAAGATATAACTATGTGAATAGTGTGTCTTTTACATTGCTCATATAAGTTAGCCGATTTAATGTTCTTATTTCAAGATAGAAGCAAATCAAAAGACCTCAAACTACTTTCGTTAAAGTTTGTCTTGATGGAAAGTTTTAATTTGAAATTCGAAAATCAATTTTTCTGTTATCATGGCATTCGTTTAAAAAACATCATAAAAGTGTAGTATCTCTGCAGCAATAAGTTAATGGTATGAACTCGTTTTAGAGTATGCATAGCTGATTTCGATCTACATAATGGACATTGTTTTCGACTCACAAGCTATTTATCAATTAGAGAACTTCTTTCGTAAGATTTATAAGTAATTATGTTTGATAAAATCTAATTTCTTACCTGCTCCTTTTGTTTCACAAATAAAATGCGATTGAAATGTTGATAGAACACCATGTTCAATACCTGGACCAGAGACGCGTACCTTATCTAAAGATCAAATCATTATTTTCATTTTTATTTTCGAAAAATTTTCAATACTCACTTGCATCAGGTGGTCCGCTTACTTTAAGCGTATACGGACTACCAGGTACATCTTCATCGTTATATTTAATAGTCAATACATGTCTTCCACTTTCTTGTGGTTTAATAAATAATGTAAATGTACCATCACGATGATCAAATAAACGACAAAAAGCTGTTTTATTAACTCCTTGACAATAAGCTGTTAATTCTCCTGGACCAGCACCACGTGTATCAATGATACATTTTATTTCTTTACCTAATATACCCATTCTTAAACCTTCACCTGAACAAATGACTCGAGATGCAGAATGACCAACATTTGTATTTGGTAAAACATTAACTTTAAATGGTGACCCGCGAACTTGTCGTTCTGCCCATGTTACACTTAATAAATAAGCACCTAAAACAAAAAAAATATTAGTTTTGTTTTGCTAAAAATTCTATTGAATTCTTATTGATTTATTTTACCTGGTGCTGTTGGTACATAAGAACAAAGAAAAATATTATTTTCAATTTGTCGTATTCGAACTTCAACATCTGCTTGAACACCAGTTAATCGTACAATAGGCATACTAGTACTTTGAGCCGAAGTTTTTGATGCATCAATAGTAAATTCTGCTTCTTCATTGACTTTTGCTTCATATGAACCATGTCCGCGTACTTCAACTTTTAAATGTTCACCTAAATTTGTACTTGTTGAATTTGCTATAGCTCGAATAGGCATATTTGGTAATGGATTTTGATCATAAGTTATTGCTACATCATATTTTCCTTCTCGTATTACAGTAAAACTAAGTGTATAAATTGCACCTTGTTGATCAATACGTATTGGTACACGAAGACCATCATTACTACCTCGAATATCAGCTTTCAAAGTACCTAAAAAGAAATAAAAAATAAAGATTAAATTTTAATTTAATTTAAAATTAAAAATAAAGATTAAATTTAATTTAATTTAAAATTAAAAATAGAAAATTTTACCTGGTCCAGCATGAGATGTATCAAAACGTATTTTCTTTTCTTCATTAATAATAACATGCATACGATCTTCAGAATCAAGTATTGATTGCCAACCTCCAACAATTCGAACACGTTCTAAAAATGATATACATTTTTATATTTATATAAATAAATAAATCTCTAGACCTGGATTAGTAACTGCAGCTTTAAATGGACTATTAGTAATATCTTTTCCATTCCATTTTATACTTATTGTAACAAATCCAACTTCAACAGGTACATATGTTACTTTAAAACGATTATCATTTGTTCGTTCAAGCGTATTTTTAATAACTGAATTTGATCCTATTAAAAAATAGAATATAGTATTTAAAATAATGGAATATTTTATTTTCTTATTATCATACCTTCAATACGAACTTTTAAATCGCCTTGCATATCTTGTGTATCAATCATAAATGTTGCTAATTTTTCATGTAATGCATGATGAATTCCATCACCATATGCTGTTACTAGACGAGCATCATTAACCATCATTTTAATTGGTGTACCTGGTTTTTTTTGTTTTTTCGTAAAAAATTCAATAAATAAGAATTCAAAAGAGAAAAAAAAAGTCAATTTTTAATTACCTGGTATTATTTCTGAACCAAATTTTGCATTTAAATAATGTACACCTGTTTCGTTTGGTGTAAAACGTACTTTTTTAACTGTTGATCGAAATGATGCGTCGTCAATTTTAAAAGGAACTATTTATTAAATGAAATATTAACAATTTATTTTAATATAAAATAAAGCAATCGAAAAGATTAAAACTTCTTATGAACTTGCTTCCTGATGATAGATTTCTATGATCATTAAAGCCTAGATTTTGTTCTCTTTTAGATGTATATAATGAGTCTTAAAATATCATAATTCAATCTGACGATGTTTTTACTAAACTGAGCAGTGAAGCCAATTAACGTTTCACATCCCTTAGTGAAGAAAAAGTTGATCATTAACATTGGCGGTGAAACTTGAATCTCGCCATAATTCAATACTATTACGCTTAGCTTCATATGAACTACAGTTCCAGTGCTTAAAAGTATCCCCTATCTTTTTTGATCTTTTCTGGTTCTCAAAAAGGGCATAATGAATATGCATGAAATTCTTATCACAAAAAGACTAAGGCGACACGTGTTGGAGGAAAAACATTTTAAATAAGGTTTACACAGTTTTTTTCATGAAAACTTCGGTTTTCTATAGCACCACATCCTCCGTGACGCGATCGATTTGAAATTTTGACCACAGATACTTAGGAGCATTCTCCAGAGGTAAAATTGACTGTTCTTATTTATTGACTTTCCTGTCCGGATTTATAGAGCTTGGAACACCAGCCCTTCGGTTTTGGATTCACACTTTTACGTATTTTTTTCATAAAAAAAGAAGAAAGTTAGATTTTTGAAAAAGCTTAAAACTCCTTCTGATATATAATCTAAGATATTTCCAAAAAAAATTTCAGCTCAACCACATAAAGTTAGATAGAAATCGTAAGCGAGTCGGATGTGTTCCTATGGAAAACCATAGTTTTCACGAAAGAATTTTTTTTTCCTCAAGCACGTGTCTCCTTATTTTAGGTATTCTATCTATGGTTAAAACTTCATGCGGATTAATTGTTCTCTTGTTGAGAACAAGAGACGATCATAAAGACGAGGCATATAAACAGATTATTTGATTTCTAATTATTTGAAATCGATTATTTGTCGGTTTTAATCTCAATAATCATAAAATACATTTTTCTCTTGTTTTAACTTCGAATTTCAAATATTTAATTATTTGTTTTTTTGAACATCTTGGTTCAACAAACGTTAAGTATCATACTAGACTAATGTTTAGCACACAAATTACACTTCGAAATATATGCATTTTAATTTATACATTTGTTCAAATAATACAAAATGTTGATCGATTGAAATATGTTTTTCAATTTTACAATCATATTTCATTAAATTTTGATTGATTGATAAAGTTTCATCAATTAAATTTCAATAATCGATTAAAATGGATGTAAATTCAATAACCGTATCAAATCGATTTTTAATTGAACAAAAAAAAAACACAATCGATCAAAGTTCGATTTTTTTTTCTCTCATTTTTACATAGGTTACGAGCTTTAATCTATAGATTGATGATAATTTAGAAACAGAATCTTGAATAAAACATAAAATTCTCTAGAGGAATCACGTAGTATCACTATAAAAATTTCTTTCTTCGAAAAATCTCATATGATTCTTTCATTAACTCAAACATGTATGCAATGAAGATCGAGTAAATATATAAAAGAAAATAAAATAAAATGTTGACAGACCGGCACACGACCAACAAGTTCAATTGATTTAAGTGTATTACTACCGTTTAATTTATCCACTAGAATTTGTCAGTCTTGTGTCGACATGTAAACATTTTGTCACCAAGTTGTTAATACTAATGTATGTGTCTATTCACATTGAAACACTTTCTTTTTATATAACAAAATACTTTCGTCTTATTCCCCTCCTTCAACAACAATGTGTCGTAAAATTTACGCAATAAAACAATGTTAATAATGACAAATAACCTTGATCAGATTAACAAGTCAAACTATCCTTGGGACAAATTTTTACTTGATAGATGATCCAATATACAGTAGACAGCTGAGAGGTTTTCAAGGAAAAACTATGGATTGATTTTGATAGATTCAGTTCAACTCATTTGAAGCTCTGAGATGAACTTTATTTTATTGTAAAGATGAAAAATTTTTATAAATTGAGATGACAATAGAGTTTGGTATCTATATCGTCATGGTCCTTAGTGACATATTTTATTGACATAGAATGATATGTAGACAAGACTAATCGTAGAATTGTACAGTCAAAAGGTGAAACTATTTGTTTTCAAGTATTTGTCTTCTCTTTTGTGATATTATTATTCACTTGATTTTACATAATTCTAATAATCAAAATTTCACAAAAAAATTATAATTAAATATAGTATGAAAAATGTTTTATTGTTATCATCATTTAAATTTCTAAAATATCGTTCAAAAGTTTTGACCCATGTCTGTAAATTGATGTTATCTATATGAATACATAGATAATTGACTAAAATAGACACAGTTGCTTTATTGATCGTGACTACACATTTTACATCTTACTTTTTTTTTTACAAAAAATATGCTTGTAACGTCTAAAGCGAAATATTAATTCTTAGAGATTTTTATATGATTTAATAGAGTTCGACAAATTCTACGAGAATATGAATATCACAAAAGTTCTGATCTTGTTTTCAATATAAAATTTTGAGGAAACCAGAAAGATTAATAAGAATTTCATGTATCAAGTATTAGAGAAAGTGAGCTGAACTTTTAATAATTTTAGTTGATCTACTTATTCCGAAGAGTTATTGTCAGCTTCAGTATATTACACTACATTTCGAAACATCAATTATCGATTGATCAATTAATATTATTGAAAGTTAAGCATATTCTCTCGTTTTGATATTCATACTCTTGTAGAACTTGTCGAACTCTATCAAATCATATAAAAATCTCTAGAAAATAATATTTCGCTTTGAAATTCGAACGTTTTTATTTTCAGATGATAGTATTAATCTTTCTCTACAAAATTATGTATTTCAGTCAACTATTTTCGTATGTATTATGTATAAATAAAGTCTATTTACAGAGAGAAATCGAAACTTTTGAATCATCCTTTAGTTTTCATATATTTTTTTTTTGAATTTCCTTCGATATTATGAGTCGATTAGTACGGTAAGAGATTCTAAATTAGATTATTCATATTCAACATATAACATCATATGAATGCATATTTAATCAGATAAAAAATAGTTTCATTTGCGCACAGTGTCACTATCAATAATTTAGATTCTAATCAATAAATGTCATTGAAACGATTCATTGAGTTAATTCTCCAATAGGAAAAAGTCAAATATTATCACCTTCATTCATCAAACTAAACAAATCTAAAATGTTTTATCACTTAGCTCA